TCTCAATTCATGGATAATCTGAATTTCCTGTGGCCAACTATAAGGTACAAATTTGAAAACCAAGTCTTGGCTTTATCTGTCATATTGTTCTGCAAAAGTCATGAATGGGCAGAAAATAATTTATATCATAGAAACAGGATTAGCAAGCCCTGAAATATATCTTTTTGATTTAGCTTTTTAGCCAGAAAATATGTGCTTTTGTGTTGTAACTTTCTGAAAGCAAAAATCAAAGTCAAGCCTTACTTTTTCTAATTTAGCAGATTACAATAGTAAAACTGATACACATACGCTTTTTATAGCAGTGTGTCAGCTCAAAGGATGGCTGAGAGCTGAAAGTTCCAACCAATCATGACCTCTGAATAGATCAATCGCTTTAAAAATCAGCAGCTTACTCATATAACTTGATTGGGTTTTGTTAAGAAGCTATATATTATGGCAAAACTACACATGGTTTATATTGCTCCAGGACCTTAGTGACAATGGTCCAGGTGAAATTCCACAAGGGTTGAATAGTGTCTGTCCAACGAACCATGGACTAATAAATCACAATGTGTAATCTCTACCTCCCCTCCCTCAGCCGTCTGAACTAGCCAAGGATCTGGGTCTTGCATTCAACAAAGTTTATAGCCACCCATTTATCCCAAAAGTCAAAGAAATATTGTCCAGCTCAAATTATTGCGATATGGAACTAGACCTTTATCTTCTTGACTTGGCATGAGCCTGGATATTTGATGGAAGACATCTTACACATCTCTCTCAGAAACAGAAGAAGAAAGTGGTCATAACTGACAGGCTTTGGAGTGCTGTCATCTGTACAGCCAAAAGCATGTAGGAGTCAGTCAGATTAACCCATCACAGAAGAATTATTTATATTCTGACTTCATAAGAATAGACATGTTAAAAAAAAAAGTTGAAAGAAAGAAAGAAAGAAAAAAAGACATTAGCCATCTTTGACCCCTAGTGGTTTTCACCAAAAACACCTTATTACTTTTTGTTAGGCTATTCAGGGTTTTTCACAGAATGGGTGCATGGGAACTCTCTGGAATTACACAAGGATGCAGACAACACACCTGATTCTCCTACCAAATGCTGATCTTATCTTTGAGGTTTGAAATCAAGACTTCACATTTTTAACAAAGACTGTATAATTTTTCCTTGTAATATCTGAGAATCAGATATGTGTTTTTTAGCTCTCCAACATGAGATCTTGAAAGCTAATGAAAATGGTTGCTAATTGGTGAATATTTTCTATTCAAACCTCACCTAAGTTAAACAAATAAAAAATTCATTGTGAAAACCACAAATAACATTCTGAGCAAAACTTCAAATGACCTATTAGCACAATTAATATAAGTGCTTTGTAGAAAACCTTTAACACTGCAAATTTTAAATTTAAGTTTGCCAGGACAGTCACTTACTATAAAGTGACACTACCTGCCATGGACCAGTTGTACCTAACTAAAATGCTGCAACTCTACAGGATGTGCAACCGGGAGACTTTGACAGGTAATTAGCTTTAATGGAATTCAAAGGGTGCTGCTCTTGTAATGGAGTTAGTACCTTCCAAGAAATCAGAGAGCCTGCCTCCCTCCCCTCTTCCCTTCTCCCTCTCTCCTCTTCCCTGTCACAGGAGGGCACAGTGAGAAAGCCACCATTCACAAACCAACAACAGTGTCCTCACCAAACACATTAGGTTGGCTCCTGGCTGTTGGCAAGCCAACATTCGTGTGAGCCACCGAGTCAACAATGGGAGCTAACACGCCACTTCATTCTAACCACCAAGCTGATTTTGTAAAATAGAAATCTCACTGAGTGTCTTGTCCAATATTGACTGTTTCTTCTTCAAATTCAATCTAAAACTTCCTTAAGAAACCACACTGGGCAGCCATAAACCTGCTTAAGATTTGGCTAATGTGAAATCGTTTAGCCATAATCTTTCTCAGACTGTCCAAAACTAGTTTTAGTAAGATGTAAATTTCGTGTTAGACTTCAGACTTTAATGCCAAGTTTTAGAAAGCGTTCACAAAATAAGGTTACTCCATTATCATTTTCTGTCTCTGTGATTGAGAACCACATTTATATTTTTTTTTTTTTTTTATTGTTGCTTACATTGTATTATGTAGTACAGTTTTATAGGCGCTGGGGATTCCCCCCACCCCTCCCATAACCCTCCCCCCATGGTGGATTCCTCCACCTTGTTGCATAACCATAGTTCAAGTTCAGTTGAGATTCATTGCTTGCAAACACATGCCTAGCATAAAGTTCAGCGTCTTATTGTCCAGATAAGTTCAGTGGCCTCTTGGGGAGACCTTCTATGGTCTGAAGATAGGTCTAACAGGGTAGAGATCCGGTCAGTTAAAAGCCCCAACAAGGCCTCAGTGTCAATATACAACATTATGGAATTAATTGACATAGTAATGGGTAGACAATATGTTAAAAATAATGCAAGTTCCATTCTTCGAAACATCTGGGTTGAGACAGTATCAATGACAGGTTCAGAAAATAACCAACAACCAAACAAAAAATTACAGGTTAAATCAAGGCAAACATGTGGTATCTAATCTTTTGGGATTCACTCATTTCCCTTAGCATTATAGTTTCCAGTTGTGCCCATTTAGCCACAAAGAACTGCATTTTGTTTTTTTTAATAGCTGAGTAGTATTCCATGGAGTAGATGAGCCAAAGCTTTCTTATCCAATCTTCTGCTGATGGGCATTTCGGTTGCTTCCATGTTTTTGCAATTACTGATTGTGCTGCAATGAACATAGGGATGCATGTTGGTTTGTCGTAAAACAGGTGTTTTGGATATATTCCTAGGAGTGCTATTGCTGGGTCATATGGTATGCAGATTTTGAGTTGTTTGAGTGTTCTCCAGACTGATTTCCATAAAGGCTGTACCAATTTGCAGCTCCACCAGCAGTGGAGTAGGGTTCCCTTTTCCCCGCATCCTCGCCAGCAAGCGTCGTTGGTGTTCTTGTTTATGTGGGCCAATCTTACTGGTGTTAGGTGGTACCTCATCGATGTTTTAATTTGGATTTCCCTTATTGCTAGGGAGCTGGAACATTTTTTCATATGTTTGTTTGCCATTTGGACTTGTTCCTTTGTGAAATGTTTGCCCATTTCCCGTGCCCATTTCTTGAGTGGTTTGTTTGTTTTGGTTTTTTTGGTTGTTTTGAAGTTCTTTGTATATCCTGGAAATTAGCCCCCTATCGCCTATATCGTGTGCAAAGATCTTCTCCCAATCTGTGGGTTGCTTTTTTACTTTGTTGATTGTTTCCCTTGCTGTACAGAAGCTTCTTAGTTTGATGAGGTCCCATTTGTTTATTCTGTTCTCAACTGCTATTGCTTTTGGTGTCCTTCTTAGAAAGTCGGAACCTACTCCTAGGTCTTGCAGGGTATTTCCTACATTTTCCTGCAAGAGTTTGAAGGTTTCTGGATGTAGGTTTAGGTCTTTTATCCATGTAGATTGGATCTTAGTGTATGGTGATAGATGTGGGTCTATCTTTTTGTTTCTACAGGCTATCAGCCAGTTGTCCCAACAACATTTACTAAAGAGGCCTTCCCACTTGCTTGAGTTGTCATTGGTCTTTTTGTCAAAGATTAATTGGCTGTATTTGTGTGGGTTCCCTTTTGGTGCTTCTATTCTATTCCATTGATCTTCTTTCTGTCTTTGTGCCAGTACCAGGCTGTTTTGATAACCACTGCTCTATAGTATGTCCAGAGGTCCGGGATTGTGATTCCCCCTGCTAACTTCTTATTTTTCAGGATGGTTCTAGCTATTCGTGGGAGAACCACATTTATATTAAAAAAGAAAACCGGGGCTTGAGTTTTCCTAGTTGATAAGGCTGTTTGAATATCTCACTTCATTGACCTTTTTTTGCTAGTTCATTGTTACTTTAAAAAGCACACTGCCTGACATTTCATTAGTGACTACTGCCATGTAAAGTTCCCACTCATCCGTCTACTACATTCAAAGCACTGCATGACACCAAATCCTTTAAAATTTAGCTCAATGGCTCAAGAATTTGTAAGGCAATGAGAAAAGCTTTACTCAGATCTGCATAGTATCATTTACCACCTATGGTTTGGAAAGGCCAGAAGTAGAAGAAAACTGCGGAGGAGAGGAGAAGGCAAATACTTAAAAGACTACTCCGTAGTAAATAGCATTGAGCACTTGTTTGAAGGCAGCAGCTCTGGGAGCTAAGTGGAGCTGACTGGCCATTACGCCCCCTCACCCTCTACACAGCAGCTTCCGCATCTGCAGAGAATAAAAACCAAACTTAAAACTCCACGATCCCACTCTTCTTTGTGATTTGCACCTAAAACTGAGCCCAGGTCAGGGAGGTAAGTACAAACGATGCTCATGTTACAAAAGAGCAAAGTGCCAGGCACCTCCCCGTCTCCAACAGTCACTGCAGGAGGCTCCTCCCGCGCAGCTCTCTCCGCACGCCACGGAGTCCGCCCACTAGGCCCGGAGGGCAGCGTTCAGGCCTGGGCAGCGGGCCTGGCAGCCCGGAGCGGAGTCCCCGCGTCCCCGTCCGATCCTCGCGGCCACGCGCGCCCCTCAGGCGCTGGCCGACGCCGCGCGCGAGCGCGAAACCGGCTCTCCCACGCTGCCCCGCCCGCGCGCGCCCCACCTTCCCTCAGAAAAATGCGTTTCTAGGCAACGGCAGGCCGCGGCGTCACTTCCTGCCATTTAAACTCGGGTCCCCACCCCTCGCAGCCCCTTCTGGTTCCCACTGCCCCTTCCCTACGCCGGGAGCTTAGTTGGCGCGGCCCGGGCTTTGGGGAGGGGGCGGAGGCCCGGCGCGCCGAGCGGGCCGCGAGTCTGTGAGAGTCCGCGCACCTGTTGTGCGCAGCAGCCCGGACCCCTAGGTGGCGGTTCTCAGCCGCCGAGCCCACCACCGGCACCCCCAGCACCACCCCGCACGCAGGTGGTCCCGAGCGGAGCGGGCGAGCGGAGGGGCGCCGAGGCCGGGCCACCGCGGCACCGGGACGCGATGGCGGCGGCCGAGCCCGCGAGCTCCGGCCAGCAGGCGCCGCCGGGGCAGGGGCAGCGTCCACAGCCGCAGCCTCCGCAGCCTCCGCAGCCTCCACAGCCTCCACAGCAGCCCGGGGGCGCGGGCGGCAGCGGGGGCGGTGGTAGTGGTGCCAGCGGTGGCGGCGGCAGCAGCAGGCACGAGAAGAGCCTGGGGCTGCTCACCACCAAGTTCGTGTCGTTGCTGCAGGAAGCCAAGGACGGCGTCTTGGATCTCAAAGCGGTGAGCCTGGGAGGCGGGAGTTGGGGGGGCGGACTGCAGAGCGTGTGGCCTGAGGGGAAGCCCGGCCCCCCTCGCCGCGTGGGTCGTGCGGCGTGGTGTGGGCGCGCCCCGCGGGCACCGCGGGAGCAGAAGAACCCTGGCCATGTGGCTTACGGACGCCGGGGTCGGGGAGGGCAGAGGGTCCCGGTTCACCTCCCCCGGCCGCCTACCCCGGGCGCGGCGCGCGGGGGGCTCTCGACAAAGAGCCCGGGAGCTCGAGGCCGCGTGCGGGGCCGCGCTGCCTCGGGACGCCCGGAGCGAGTTCTGCAACTCGGCGTCCACCTGTGGCGAAGGCTCGGCGGCGGCCGGGCGCTTTGCCTGCAGACACCCTGGGGACTCGGTTGCTGTTGGGATTCTGCTGTTTAAAACCGAAGGCCCAGGGTGCTCTCTGTTGCAGACGAGGAGTGAACTTTGCATAGTCCTCATTAAAATAATGATTACAATAATACCCCCACCCCCTTTCCATATATACTTCCTTTCAGCACTTTGGTGATGAGCAAAGCATATTTGGTTAGTGAATTAATTCGGCGTCCAGGAACGATTTCAAAAAGTGAGGATGCTTGGTAAGGTTCACCCAGGCAGGTGGAAGCGCTCAGTGAAGTCCGTACAGTTTCGCGAGGACGTGGGTTTAGTCCTTGGCCACAGCCTGGAGTTTGCCAACAACAACGCGCATCCGATTCTGCTTGGTGCTGCAGAATGATTTAACCGTCCGCGTGGAATTTGGAAGGATTCCACAACTGAGGGAGAGAGGCAGACTGAGAATATGGATCCGTGTGAATGTGACCAATTGAACTAAAAAAACCACCACGCCAAGTTTAAGGACCGTCGCTTTACGGGCAAACAAAAATGTTACTACTGCACAGGTGCAACCGTCCCTGGGGAAATTGGCCCCAGCACTCAGGGGAGGTGCCAACCTCTAGGCCATGCCCAGTTACAGAAATCGCACCCGAGGAGGGGCACCAGGCCCACCACCGCTGAGAGGAAGGCGGCACCAATTCCGTGACTTCCCGGGTAACTGAGCAGAAAGTGTACCTTTCGCAGCGCTCTGCTCCCCCTGGAAGTGGTGGGTGAATGAATTGTTCTGCTTAATAGAGATGAAGCACATATTTGGGGAAGTAGTTTCTGCTATCTTGATATAATTTTGATATAAATCTTTTTCCCGCCTTTTCAAGTTCCTCATTTTTTTCCCTTCCATACTTCCTTTTTCCCACTCTTTCCAAAAGTGCTTTATGGCACATATTATGCTGTGGGTAGTGAATTAAAATGGATTGTTTGAAAAATTTCTCAAGAACACTTAAGGTCATCCGAGAAAATCTGCAAAACTCAAGATCATAGACTGCTACTTAAAAACATAAAAGTTGCGGTATAGATTTTGAGTTTAATAGGGAGGTGTAGGGGGATGTGTTTTAGATAAAAAAAAAAAAAAAACAACTGAATTCTGGGACTGAACTTGGAGGGCTTCTGCCTCAGTACGCTTCCAGCTGGGACTGAACCGTGGCCATGCTTCGCTTGCGCCAGTTGGACTGGAGTTTGATCTGTGGAAGTCCCTGAGGGGCGAGTAGGGTGCAGTCTACTGTTTCCTACAGAGGTGAATCTGTCCCGGAACTTAAAGATTCCTGCAGTAATGTCTCATCGTATTCCATGACTTTCTAGAAGATTTGTTTGGAGTGCCATGCTTTTTCTCTGAAGAATGTATATGCATTTTACTTAGGTATTTCTCATTGAAAGGTCAGGGAAAATGGAATTTAAGTTTCCCTAGGTCCGAAAAGTCTTTTGAAAGCTGCGCAAAGCTGCGTGGGCTTGGTGCCTGGTGGGAGGCCCACGGATGGATATGGTGGAGCGTACACAGAGGAAGGATGACATGGTGAGCCAGGAAGCTGGGGGTGGTTGGACCAAAAGTAAGCTTTTAGAACCAGTCCTCTCCAACCATCTTTCCAAGGCACACAGCCAGAGACCCAAGGACCTCCCACCAGACCCAGCCTGGGATACCACAGAGGTATCACATGCATTTCCATTTTCATCAGACAGTCATCAACTTAGAACTTGGGATTTAACAATCCACCGGAGGGAGGGAGCCATACCCCAGGCACATCTTAGCAGATTCGGGTTTCTAATGTAGACTACTCAAAGAAAGAACAACCTCACTTTGGCTTTTAGTGATTTTTATTTTTAATATCACTGATTGAGGGCATAGCTAAACAAAGCAGGTGAGTCTTTATAAAGCTGTTCTGGAATAATTTAACAGTTAGGAAGGACTAGAAACACATTGGAAGTGATTTGAGGAAATTTTTCTCTAATCCCGCCCCACTTCTGTTGCACTGTATTCTGATTTGCAGCAGTGGAGGTGGGATGGTGCCTTTATTTTCCCTTCCCTTCCTTTGTCTTCTCTCTTTCCTTTCAGGTGAATTGAGAAATTGCGTTTTGATATACGGTTTGCCAGTTTATGCAGTTAATGTGGTTAGTATTTATGGAAATCTTACTATATTTCAGGTATATTACATCTGCAAACCCATTTTGTGCTCTTGCCTGTGGAAGTTTTTGAACCTGATATCACTATTTCACGGTTGGGAAAACTGCTAGGTTAAATAAGCAAGACAGGTTTAGTAACTTTCCAAGTATCTTATAGTAGAAGGAGCCAAGATTTGAAGCTAGCCAGCCAGGACTTTCTTCCAGGTCCCCCATGTGGTGCAGGGACCCAGCGTCTGGCCATTCTCCATTGCTTTCCAGGCCGTAATGGAGTTGAACCGAAAGTGGAGCAGCTGCAAAACAAACTGGTGCAGATTTGGGATACTGGTACTACAAGTGGAGGGTTAGCTTGCTCTGTGCCACTTTCATTGGAAACTCAAATATACAGAGAGGAGGAGAGGCAGAGAAGATCATCTGTCCAATGGTTCACTCCCCAAGTGACTGCAGCGGCCACAGCTAAGCCAATCTAAAGCCAGGAGCTTCTTTCCAGGTCTCCCCATGCGGGTTAAGGGTCCCAGGGTTTTGGGCTGTCTTCAGCTGCTTTCCCAGGCCACAGGCAGGGAGCTGGATGGGAAGTGGAGCTGCCAGGATTAGAACTGTGCCCTTATGGGAATTCCGTCACGTTCAAGGTGAGGACCTTAACCACTATGCTATCATGCTGGGCCCATCAGACCATGAACTTTTAAAAGCATGATCTAGAGTCTTGTATGATAATTACCTAAGTCATCAGTTATCTGAATGATATCTGGATTAGTCTGTGTCTTATGTCACAGGTTCCTGATTTGTACCCATTTATGATAACCTAATTGTCACACATTTTGGAAGAAATAAATAATTTAGCCTTACAATAAACTGGTTCTTCTTAATATTCTACTTAATACTTGTTAAATTCTTTATTTAGTGGAGAGGTAGGTATGTGATTACAAAGTAAATTGAAAGTATGTTGTAATAAAAAATTTAAAAAGAATGAGAAAGAGAAGGTAGGAAACATTGTAGTCTTAGACTGTATATACGAAATACATGCAACTTACAATGATTCTTAAATGCAGTTAGCTTAAGCAGAGATAGATGAATTGGGTAGGCTGGACTCAATTGCGTGCTTAAAAATCCCAGGAGATTTCAGTCCGTGGGTGTGTATTGTAAGACTTGGAAACAAGGCTTTGGCGGATACTTGCGCAGCCATGCTCATAGTGACATTTACAGCAGCCAAAATGTGGGAGCACCACATTTCTGTCAACGGATAAAATATGACGTAAACATACAATAGAAGGTTTTTCAGCTTTAAAAAGTGATATGGAAATTCTAACATATATTATAGAACAAGTAAGCTGTAGGGACATGCTAAATGAGATAAGCCAATCATAAAAACAAATACTGTATGGTTCCACTTAGATGATGCATATGGAGTGGTTAGATTCACAGACAGAAGTGTATTTGTATATTTGCGAGGAGGAGACAATGTCAGTTGATGAGTGATCCTCCTTAAAGTCATACATTGACATCTTAATTACCGGTGCCTCAGAGTGTAATGGTGTCGACAGGACTTTTGCAAAGGTGATGGAGTTAAACGAACCTTTCGGGGCAGGCCCTCCTCCAGTGTGTTGAGTGTCCCTTATGAGAAGGGAGAAAGTGGCACACCCAGAGAGTCCCCAGGGATGTCCTCACACTGTAAAGACCCTGATGACACAGCGGGAAGGTACTGTCTGGGTTGAAGGGTCTCAGAAGAAGCCAGATCAGCTGGTGCCTGGGCCTTGGTCATCCTAGTTGCCAGAACTGTGAGAAAACACTGATTTTTAAACCAACCCACTGTGGCACTTTGTTGAATAGGGGTAGAGTTCCAGTTTTGCGAGATGAAGTATTGTGGATCGAGTTAGTATAGCTGAAGTGTATATCTGCTATGTGTATTTAGCACTCGAAACCTGCTTAGAATGGTGCAAATTCAAACCGCTAACACTAGCGGAAATGCCAGCAAGGATGTGATGTAACAGGAAGTCTCATTTATTGCTGGTGAGAACACAAAATGGCAAAACCACTTTGGAATCAACAGGCTTGATCATATCATCTGGTATCATGCTTTTTGGAGTTTGACCAAATGAGTTGAAACTTATATCTATACAAGCATTCATAGTAGTTTTATTTGTGATTCTAAAACTTGGAAGCGACCATGGTGTCTTTTAGTGGTTGACCAGATAAACTGCTACTTCCAGCCAGTATTATTCAGTGCTAAAAAGAAGTGGGCTATCAAGCCATGTGAAAACATTAAGTACGTATTATTAGGTTGGAAAAAGTTCATCTGGAAAGTCTACATACTGTAGGGATTTCTATAATAGAGGCACTGACCTGTGGCACAGTGAGTTAAGCCACCACTTGGGATGCCAGAATCTGGTGTCCGAGTGCCAGCTCTGATCCTGGCTCTTTCACTGTGATCCAGTTTCCTGCTCCTGTGCCTGGAGAAGCAGCAGATTGGGTCCCTGCTACCCCTGGAAGAGGTGGCT